AAGTTTCCAATGGTACCAATTTTTCCAATTTTGGCCTTGTAGAGAGTGAGATACGATTTTTCAAAAATCGCTCGACAAATCTGAAATTTCCAAACTTAAAGGAAATTGAGGGTTTCGAACTCTCTATCTCCTTTGATATTGCTAGAACGTTGTATACTTGATTTCAAAGATGAAAAATCAGATTTTTTCTTGTGTTTTAAAACCCCATTTTTGAGTCTCGATTTACGAGTAATTAAGGCTCATTTTCGTGAAATTTTCTTAGATTGTACAAGTGTACAATCTTCCTTGATACTTGGGGTTTATGAGTGATAGTTCATTATTAATTGCTCAGGCACTCAAGAGGACCTCCAAGAGGATCTCACGGGAGACGCCTAATCAATCGCTTGTACTTGCTACTTGAATCACTCGATGAGTGTCAAGTGTGTGAAAACGTATTAATTGCTTTGATAATAGAATATTTTGAAAATGCTGAGTCGAGTGTGTACTTTATCACACTCGTTCTCATTTAAGTGAAGTGTACTTGAATTTCGTGACATGCAATACTTGAATTACTTGAAGTGACTTGTTAAGTGAATTTAAGTGAAAATGTTTAAGTGATTATTTATGCTATGGCTGCATAAGTCGATCGGAGTGAATCTCCTCGACTCAAGTGGTAAGTGGGGGATGCCCAAATCTCACTGGCTAACCTTGGACTCGAGCCGACATGGGTTTGGTCGGGCTCCTTGGCGAACCATGAGAAAACAAAAGTTTGATCTATTAAGAGATCATGTTTGGCATAATCGAGCAGTATCGCCTCAAACAAACGACAGGCGGGCCCGATACAGGGGTATGTAAGGTGAAAGGGGACATGATAAGTGAAGTTCTACGGACTAAACCTACCTGATTGACGGAGTGTCAACTCGTGGAGGTTCGTGATCGTGCAAGTGGAAAATAGCTCCTGAGAGCTCCTATATCCTTGAATTGTTTCTGTTTACTTTTCTCGCTCGAATTGTTATTTATTGCAATATTATTACTCTACTTGTTAAATTGGGATTGTTACTTTAACAACGTGTCTGCATGTGTGTTCTTGGCCTCACGAGCGTTTTGCTCACCCTGTAGATTTGTTTTCCTTAATAGGGAAGGATCTGGAGTGAACCTCGGAGAAACCCCTTTTGAATGTACTTCTGTATTAAGGTTTTTTAAGGTACTGGGTTAGACTCTTGATTACTGTACATTTTGGGATTTGATGTAACATTTGTGAACTTGATGTAAGGATTGGATACTTGATGTATTTTGAAACTCGTGATGTAAGTTTGAATGTTATTTATGGGAGTGACCTTCATTTCTTATTTATATCATCGTGATGGCTGGTATTTCATTAAGCTTGAATGGGAATTGTCTTGAGTCCTAGCGAGAGCTGGGCAGGCGTCCCGCGGATACCCTTTGGTTCGTCTTAAGGAGAAGTGGGGGCGTCACACTATGTGCTCATGCATGCTTCGACTATAAATCAAAATATCATCAAAGTAAACAATGACAAATTTTCCTAGAAAGTGCCTTAAAATGTGGTTCATTAATCTCATGAAAGTGCTAGGTGCATTAGTCAACCCAAAAGGCATGACCAACCATTCATAATGACCATGTTTCGTTTTAAAGGTTGTTTTCCATTCATCTCCCTCTTTCATTCTAATTTGATGATAGCCACTCCTTAAATCAATTTTTATGAAGATGACAACACTTTCAAGTTCATCTAGCATATCATCTAATCTAGGGATGGGGTGACGGTATTTAACAGTTATAGCATTTATAGCCATACAATCAGTACACATGTGCCAAGTGCCATCTTTCTTAGGAACAAGAATAATAGGGAGGCACACGGGCTCAAACTTTCCTTAACCCAACCCTTACCTAGTAAGCCATCAACTTGCTGTTGGAGTTCTTTAGTGTGAGAACCCGTAAAACCCTAATATTTTTCCTAGGGTTTATTTCCCCTTAATTGCATGTTTTCTGCATTTTCTGGCTTAGGAATATTTTCCTGGTGAATTTTATGAGTAATTATAGTTTTAAGATGAGTTTTCTCGTATTGGATAGTTTTTAGAAAATTAAGAATATATATTGGACGTGGGACCCACGAGTGCGAAAAGTTCGGGAAAATTCGGCCACTGTGGAAAAGTTATCGGATGTTACGAGATAAGTAGAGAGTGAGATTTGATTGATGTGAGAGAGAAAAGAAAGGATAGGAATGCATTTATTAGAGTGCCAAGTGTCAATTTTCCATTGGTTTGACTTTAAGAGTTACTATTCACTATTTTGACCTTTGACCAAAATTGGTTAAATATCTCCAAAAATTCACAAAATTCACCATTTTCTTCCCTTGTGTTGGCCGAACCTCTCATCAAAGAAGAAAAAAAAACTCTTCCAAGTTTAAGCTTCCAACAAGCTCAAATCACCCAACTCAAGTCCTTAAACTAGAATCTACTCCATGAAATTCCTTCCTTTGGTGCTCTTGAGTGTATTAGTGAAGTTGATTTGAAGAGCTAAGGTGTCCACACTCCCTATCTCTCTTGATTGCTTGGTAAGTGATGCTTGAACACCCTACTACATCTAATGATGGTTATATTATGCTTAGAAGTGGCTTGAGTGTTGGAAAATGTGATTTATTTCTTGATTTGAAGAGTTTTGGTGAAGTTTTCCATTTTATGATGAATTTTCTGGTTTCATATGATTTTGATGTTTTGGACTAGTATGATGGTTGGTAATAAGGGGCTTTAGCTCTAGTAGGTGCATATGATAGGAAATTGCAATCAATTTTGAATTTGGAAGAATTTCTGGAAAATTAGGGTTCTTGGTTGAACATTCTGTCCGAAATTTTAGGTCATAGATAGAGGCCGAATTGGACTTTGTTCAAAACATTAAAGTTGTAGGTATTGATGATTTTGAAGTGCCTGAAAAATTTCAGGGCATTTGGAGTAGTGTAGAGTGAGTTATGCCGTTTTTACTGTTGCTGTTCTGGGTGAACAGAATGTGCGAAACTGCGATAGTAATTGGACATTTTGACTGGTTTTGGTTTGGATTTTGAAGTTGGTGTCTTCTGATGAAATGTTACTGGATGTCTTAGATATCATATGCCTTTGGAATTTCGGCATTTGGACTTGTATAGACTGAGTTATAGTAATTACAGTTTTGTGTGTTTTGCCAACCTGTTTTGGTAATTCTGGTTTGGTATTTGGCACTTTTGACCTAGTTGTTCTAGGATTGGATTGAGTTACCTTCTACATTGTTGTAGCTCTGTTTCTTGGCTTCGAAACGGTGGGTCTTACACCCCCATCCGATAATCGTAGTGAATTTGACGCCATTACCGCAAAATAAGGGCAAAACAGTTTTTCTATTTGGGGCCAAGACTAATGCTATTTCTAATTTCTGGTTTGCTACCATGCTTATTTATGCATATGAGACCCTATTGGGGTTGTGTTCAGCATTGTTTTATGACTCGTCGTCGAGTCTCTCTTAGGGCTTGCTTTCATTTTGGTTGTTTCCTAGCTAACTTTTGTACTTGTACCACTTTGAGCCCTGTACGGCTTTTGGGAAATGAGATGACCTTTGGTGTGAAATGTTGGGGCTGATTTGAGGAAATAATGAAGCCTTAATGGCTGGAAAAGTAAGAATTTTAGGGACGGTGCTGCCCGATTTTCTAGGCCGTTTGATTCCTTTAAGTTGGATTTGCCTTTTGATGGAAATGAAGGGCTTTTGGGTTGTTGACCCTAGGTCTTCATGTTATCTTTTGTTTCCAAGAAAATCATGTTTTTGCACCCTTGCATTAGTATTTTTGGGCAAGGCGTACGACGTGTAGTCGAGCCTCACTTGTGCATTCCGTTTACTCGATTTTGGATATGAAACCTTCAGTTGGTTTATTTTGATTATTTTAGGGTTTCTTGGCGATTAAGGCCAATCTGAAGTAAAAACTTTTGAAGTTGAGCCGGTGAGTGTACCACTCCCCTCCATTGCTGTTTAACTTGATTTCTGCTCTGCAATCTGTTTATTTGTTCGAGACGAGGGTGTACTTTATCACACTCGTTCTCTAGTCTGTTCATATGCCAATTTACTATGCAAAATTTGAATCTGTTATCTGTGTCTGCATCTGTTTGGATTTCTATGACCTATGAACTCAATCCTGTGGCTAAGTTATTCGAGTCGGGCCGGCAAGGGCCTGGACGATTAGATAACGAACCACGGTAGTCTGTTCGGGGATTTTTGGGTATTGAGACCCTTGATTCCGGTATACTCGAGTATTACCATTTTTGTTCGTTTGAGGTGAGCGTGCCCGGTAAAGGGGTGTTTGGTGGACGGAATTCGGTGATAAGAGGGGTCTACGGACGCATTGGTTCTATATATGTTGACGGAGAGTCAACCAGTTTGGATCAAGTATTGCGCTGGAAATTTGGCTCCTGAGAGCCACCCGTATCCTTCTGATTTGAATCATTGGTTCCTTTGCTTTACATCTGACATGTGTATCTGATTTGTTAAATGTGAAATGCCATGATTTTAATGCTATCTGTTTGGTACCTCATTGAGCGCAAGCTCACCCGTTCTGTTCCTTTTGTTTTCCTTACAGGAAAAATAAATACTTTTGGACTGGATTTGACAAATGGCTGCCAAATTGAGCTAGTTGAACATATCTTTTGCATAGCTCATGTATTAAAACCCTAAGTGTACTTTTGGGGCGTTTGTTTTTGATTTGGCAAACCGTGTGTATATATTAACTTTTGAAACTTTTGTATGTCATTTTGATTGGTAAACGCTAAAGTTCAGATGTGAATGGTTGCGTGCTCTTTCGGTTGGGTTTTGACAGATTGGTTACTATTCATGGCCGACTCCGGATTTCATTTTATTTTATTCTGGGTTATTTTACCATTTTGATCTGTTTACGCTCGTTTGTAAGTTCCGGATCGCAATAGATAGCTCTAATCTGATCCGTAGTCCTGGCGAGAGCTGGGCAGGCAGTCCGCTAACCCCTTTGGTTCGCCTTAGGGGAAAGTGGGGCTGTTACATTTAGTCTCTTCCGGACCCATTCGGTAGGCAGGTTTTTTGGATAAAGGTGCTCCAGGAATAAGGTCTATTTGATGCTCAATCCCTCGGATGGGTGGTAATCCATCAGGGATCTCATCAGGAAACACATCCTCAAATTCCTGTAACAAAGCAACTACACTCGAAGGCAATGCCTTATTGAGTTCATCAACATTCAAGAGCACATGTTTACATATCACAAGTAACAAAGGCTTATTAGAATGCACAATTTTTCGAACGTCCTTAGCCTTGATTATCATATTTTGTTTCCTAGTGTTTGACTTAACTAATGTTTGGTCATTTGTAACACTAGGGACAACATTTTTTTCCTTGGCCGAATGCTCAAGTTTCGAGGTTGAGCAATTTCCAGATTCGGCCCCTTTTAGCTTTCTCTTTTGGCGGTCTAAGTCACATTCCCTTTGCAACTTAAGTTGGTCCTCGTACACTTGTGAAGGTGTGAGAGGTGTTAAAACCATCCTTTTACCATTGTGTAAAAGGGTATATTTATTAGACCTACCATCAAAAGTAACATGCTTATCAAATTGCCATGGTCTTCCTAGTATAACATGAGTAGCATGCATAGGGACAACATTGCATATGACTTCATCACAATACTTTCCAATTGAGAAAGGAAGACGTACCTGCTTGTAGACGCGGACTTTACCATTTTCACTTAGCCATTGAAGTCGATAGGGATGCGGATGTTTGGATGTAGGTAGCCCTAAGCTCTCCACCATTAGCAAACTTGCAACATTGGTGCAACTTCCACCGTCGATGATAAGGCTGCATACCTTGTCACTTACTTTACACCGAGTGTAAAACAAGTTTTTTCGTTATAACTGCTCATTCTCTTTAACATGGGCGGTTAGCACTCGTCTTGCAACCAAGCAACCAATTTCACCTTGGGTGGGTGAACACTTTTTCTCGACCGAATCAAGATCACCCTTTTCCTTGGTCAAAACTGGCATCTCCTCACAATTATCATCATCTAACACGACGTCTCTATTGTGAGTTATAAGCATAACCCTCTGATTCGGACATTGAGATTGAGTATGTCCAAAGCCTTGACATTTGTAGCACTTAATGTCCCTACTCCTAGTCTTAGGAGTTTCTTGAGTAGGCTTTGAATTAGACCTGGATGGATTAACAACCTTGTTACCGGTAGAATTGAATTTTCGGTTAAGGAAGTTACCTTGGGTTCGGCTAAGGGTGGATCGTGTAGCCGAATTTCCAGCATCGTGGGGAGTACTCCTTGGCTAATTTCCTTTCCACGTATTCGAATTTGTGGTGGTAAAGGATTGGACACCTCTCCTTTGTTTCTTTCCCCTTTCGGCCTTGATAGCTAGCTCAAGCAGTTCACCCATATCCAAGTAATGTTGTAGCTCTAAAGCTTCTTGAAGTTCAGGGTTTAAACCTCTAAGGAACCTTGCCATTGTAGCCTCGCTATCTTCTTGGATATTAGCCCTCATCATGGCCATTTCAATCTCCCTATAGTAATCCTCAACACTCATATTGCCTTGAGTGAGAGTTTGCAACTTCGAGCGGAGATCTCGATTATAATAGCTTGGAACAAATCTCTTGCGCATGATTGCTTTGAGTTCACGCCAAGTTCGGACTTGGGGCTCGCCATTCCTTCTCCTTCCAGTCCTTACTTGATCCCACCAGATTAATGCATTGTTGGTGAACTCAACTGTTGCAACCTTCACCTTTTGCTCCTCACTATAATCATGGCAGTTGAAGACCATCTCAATTCGGCCTTCCCATTCCAAGTACGCCTCAGGATCACTCTTGCCTTGGAAGATAGGAACTTTAATTTTAAGTCCCCTTAGCACGTCCTTGGAGTTGTCCTTCTTAGGCCTCTTGGTTCTCTCTTCATCATCACTAGCCGAATAGTCTTCATAGTTCAACCTTTTAGAACCGCCTTGGTTTCGGTTATTGAACTTGGATCTAGAGCCTTTAGTAAAGCTCTTGGATAGCTCATCGAACCGGTTATACATTTCCTCCATTTGTTGTTCACTAATCCTCTTAAGTTCAGATTTCATGGCGTTGAACATCATGCCATAATCGGCTACCGGATTAGCTTACTCCATTTCGCTTCTTTTATCCCTGTCAAGAGTTAGCAAGCAAGAAAATAATGCAAATATAGCCTTACTTCACTCCCTAAGTGTTTCGTTCGCGCTCGTGTTTCACTCAAAATCACTCTAATAGTCTCACCAAAACTCTTACCTTGCCGGATCGAGTAACTTGAGCAATGCCGCACACACCTTAAAATTGTTCACCACCTTTGTCACAAGAGTAACCACGAATGAAGACACGTAGGACACAAATTGGATCATGGTTTGTAGAGGGATTGAGGGGTTTCCTAATGCGGATGGACTCAAAAATTCGTGAATAGGAAAGGGAAACAAGGGATCCACTAGTTTCCTAGTTCGAATGGACTTAACCAAGTGAGAATATGAGAGTTATCCAAGCTGTCCACTAGTTTCCTAATTGAATTTGGAAATAGGTAGGTTTTGGAAACCTTTAAAAAATCCTTTTTCTTCTTGAAAACAACTTTAGAAAGTTTCAAAGCCAAGTAAGAATCTGCAATTCAATTGGTTTCTCAAGAAAGTACTAGGATCCGACTTCTTCCAACACAATTCGGTTGCTCCTCTTTTTTTTTCTCTTTCTTTGTTTTGTTTTTGCCAACTGATTCCCCATCCTTTTTTTTCTTTTGTTTCTGTTTTGTTTTTCTTTTTTTTTTGACTATCACGGACAAGAACAACGCAACACTTGGCCGAATGGAAAAATTTCCAGATTTGTTCTTTGGCCAATTCACACGGTTCAAGATTGTAACGACCCCACCTCCCCCTAAGGCGTACCAAAGGGTTCGGCGGACCGCCTGCCCAGCTCTCGCCAGGACTCACTCACTCGCATCAATGAAAATAAGGTGCAACCTCAATAATAAACGAAATAACGGTTCCCCAGATTGGAACATACGAATACATTCATTTCTATCTCAATCATCCATACAGTCCCAAATACATCAAAAGATTTAAGTTCTCAGTACATTCAACCCTAATCGAGCGACTAGTGCGAGTACAATTACAATATTCAAAACAACTAGACTACGCTAGTCTGTACACGTCTCACGCCTCGCTCGTACCCCTGTAAGGAAAACAAATGGCGTGGAATGAGCTAAAAGCCCAGTGAGGTTCCAAATACCAAGTTAACCTTGATTTAAAAGTGCAAGTAACACGTAGCAAAGTAATGAGCATGAATAGTTCAGAAAAGTGAGCAATAATACTTCAAGTAGCATGTTATTCTTGGTTTTGATGATCACAAAAGTTCGTTTATACTGACCAAGATTGATCAGGCCTGATGGAACAAGGAAAGCATATGTTTGATTGACTCCAGTCTACGATGCTTTGGATGTGGCAAACAAGATTGAAATAATATAAACGAATTTAGTCATTGTTTTGTTCTGATCAAAGATACTGTCTTTTAAGTATGTCTAGTTTGTCATTCTTGGTACTTTGAAATGTTTATCTAACCTCCTTCAAATACAAGTGTTTCTGTCTATCCAAGAATCAGGTTCAAATATGTCATGAAATGCAAGACAACCAAAATGAGAAGCAAAAACAGGACAATCAGGTCGGACGGCCGAAAGGAAACTGTCGGACGTCCGGAAGGATCGGACGCATACCTCGGACGCATATCAACCAGATCGGACGTCCGAAAAATTCCAAGATAACTTGCTAACTCTCGCCCTACGATCGGACGCTGTGCTGTCGGACGACAAAAATCTCATCGGACGTCCGAACTTCAACTTGGCGGTTTTCGGACGTTTGGTTCGGACGATGATTTGATCGTCGGACGTCCGAAAGCCCCAACGGCTAGCTGACCCTTCATCTGCCTTCTATCCGTTGGAATCTTTAATGAAGCCCATTTTTGTTCCCCTTTAAAAGCAAACTGTTCTGAACGAAGGAAGGACTTTGCACACTTTGTTTACAAGATCTCAAGAGATATTTTAGCTAGAAAATAGTCTCCAAAGCAAGATTTGTTTTAAAGTGGTGTGAATTTCTGGTGAGCATTTCTTTTGTGACTGAAAGGATCTTTAGTGTAGCTTTGTTGAGGGTTTTTTTCTGAGTGATTGTAAAACTTCTTAGCTTGACTAAGTGAGGCTTAGGGCAAGGAAGAAGTGCTCCCTCCATTGTACATCTAGTTGATCTTCTTTCATCTAAGAGAAGTTGCTCTTCCTAGTGTGTGGTCTTCAAGTTTGAGGATAGCTTGGTAGACACTTGGTTTGATCCCCTAATTTACTTTTCTGTTTAATAAAATTCTCATTGCTTGTCTATACTTGTGTTTCTGATCAATATTGCTCTTGTCTTCTAATCTACTTGGTTGATCATTACTAGAAAAGAAGGTAAATTTTTATTAAAGAAAAAGTGCATAAATTTGGTTAAGATTTTAATCAACCCAATTCACCCCCCTCTTGGTTGTCTTTGGGACTTACATAGCAAATCTTAACGTGAGCGAGTGTAAAAGTTTTTCAAAAGAAACAATAATCACTCCAAAATATAAGGATACGGATGGCTCTCAGGAGCCAAATTCCCATTGCATCACCAGAGCTTGATCAAGTAATAGTTGACACTCCGTCAACCTTCAAGTAAGTAACCAATCCAGTAGAGCACCACTTACGCTACTCTCCGTCCACAATTCAAACCCCATACTGGGCCCAAAATCCTCAATAAACACGGGTGGTAATACTCGAGTATACCGATTAGTCAAGGAGATATCACTCCACTCGACAAACATGAGATAAAAGTACGGAGACGGGAATGAGAGGCACCTCCCACTCGGATTGAGCGTGGTACATACTGCCGCTCCGCACTTACAAAAGATAAAAGTACGGGGACAGGAATAAGAGGCACCTCCCACTCGGGTTGAGTGTGGTACATACTGTTATTCTTGGTTTTGATGATCGCAAAGGACTTTGAAATGTTTATCTAACTCTCTTCAAATATAAGTGTTTTTTGCCTATCAAAGAATCAGGTACGAATATGTCAAGAAATGAAAATCAACCAAAAGAAGAAGCAAAAACAGGACACTCATGTCGGACGTCCTAAGGAATTGGTCGGACGTCCGAAAGGATGAAGATCATTAAGAAGAAGATTCTGTCGGACGCTCGTGAGGAAGCATCGGACGTCCAGATGGATCGGACGTACTCCTCGGACGCACATCGAACGTGTCGGACGTCCTAAAAATTCCACGAAAATTTGATAACTCTCTGGACGACGTTCGGACACAGAAGCTCGGACGGTAAAATCCCATCGGACGTCCGAACAACAACTTGACTGATTTTCGGACGATGGGATCGGACGATGACTAAGCCGTCGGACGTCCGACAGCTCCAACGGCTAGCTGACTCTTCATCTTCCTTCTATCCGTTGGAAGTATTAATGAAGCCCATTTTTGGCTCCCTTTAAATACAAACGATTCTGATTCAGAAGAGGACTTTTGCACACTTTGTTTACAAGATCTCAAGAGATATTTTAGCTAGAAAATAGTCTCCAAAGCTAGATTTGTTCTCCAAGTGGTGTGAATTTCTTGTGAGCATTTCTCTTGTGGTTGAAAGTTTCATTAGTGTAGCTTTGTTGAGGGTTATCTGAGTAATTGTAAAACTTCTTAGCTTGACTAAGTGAGGCTTAGGGCAAGGAGGAAGTGCTCCCTCCATTGTACATCTAGTTGATCATCT